TTAAATATAAATAAACGCAGACATTTATAATAAATACATATGTACATACTCTTAGAAAGGTGTACATATAAATATAAAGAATATATTCCAACTTATATAGTTTGATAAGTTAATATTACGAACAAAAACAACAATAAGTATAAAATCTAAAATATAAAATATAAGTCGGGACATCATAATCAACATGTGGCTTGCGTTTATATATAAACTGCTGTCAAGTTTCAACCTTAAAACATAATCAATCAACAAATTTGGCACAAATTTAGTTGTAGCACATTCGGTAGTTTTGAAATAACACATACACTGTTGTTTGTTATTTATATTGATGATTAAAAGAAAATTATTATATGTGACCTGGTCTACGGAAAGGGGGCTTAGGTGTCAAAAACTCAACGAGACAACGAGAAACTGACGAAACGAGTTGTTTATTTTTAACAGCTGTTTCCTAGAAAACTAGTTTTCGCACGTTAGCTCCCTTTTCGTAGACCAGGTCACATATTTAGTTTAGTTTGGTTTTACATTCCAATATCATTGTCTAAATATGTTTTAAATCTACATTAACCTCAAAGTAAATATATTCTGAGAGGGAACTTCTTCAGTCAGTGAATTTTTGGTAATTAGAAATTACTATTTCCAGCCTTAAAACTCATTCACGCCTATATGCCTTTACTCAGTTCAAGCTATTTCACATCACAATAATCACCAGGAATATTTTTTTCACACCTCTGATCAGTTTCTGTAACATTTTCTTTACATAATGGAAAGAATCGACAAAAAATTCAAGTCTTTAATTTTTATAAAAAATTCGAAGAGGTAAACAATCACTTAAATACCGATACTTTAAAAGGAAAAAATGCAGTTTTTCATTAATGTATCATAATGTTATTTGTAATTAATGAAATTGTAGCTTTATAGCATTTAAAAAAAAAAAATTTTCCCTTCTCCCATCGTGAAACTTTATGAATTTTTATTTTTAAAAACTACTTTTGTAAACGCTAATATTAAAAAATAAAGATAAACGCAGCTATAAATAACTGATAAAAGTAATATAGTAAAACAAAATTTGTTTACCAAGTGTTACTAAAATTTAGACCTCTGGACTGGGAATATCTCCTTAAACACGTAAGTTAATGTAGATTATAATACCCTCTATCCATTCCAAATATCTTGGATTATAAAATGAAAATTAAATAAACTTAACAATTGGATGTTGGGATTCAAAATTATATTTGTATTAAATCTAATACATTTTAAGTACAATTGAGGATTTTATACACCTGTATGCACAATTCGAATTTTTAGAGCAATAGTTTATTTACAATTTGCATTTAAATCACACCAATTTCTAAAACAAAAACACTTCGAGTTCAAATGCTAATACAAAATGCAGTCCACAATACATAACCTAAAAATGTTAAAAAATAGAAGCGATGGATGAAAATGATAGAAGTGGGGTAAAGCATGAATGCCAACAAATTGTAGCATTAAATGAAACTTTGTATGAGTTCCCTAAACAACAACAATCAAGAAATCGAACGAACTACCATTTTATATTTGGTTCGTGTGCTCAATTGGACCGACACATAAACAATCACTGACGATGGAGGAAAAGAAGAACGAATAGTGCCTCTAACGAAATATGGAGGCACAGCTGAAGTTAGACGAATATAAATAACAACGGCAACAGCTAAGTTTAATAGAAGAAATGCGGCAACTGCAGACGGAGCCAATAGCAGTAATATATAAAACAGACAACAAAAACAATTTTTGTTGCAATGGCCAGCTGCAGCCAGGCAGAAGACAAAACTTAATAATAAAAACCATTGCAGCGATAAACAACGCAGCAGCAGCATAACTCCAACGGCAGCAGCAAACAGTGAAAAAGCTAAAATGAAGCTGATGATGATGATGTGCAGGCGGGCGCAAAGGCAGGTGTACGTAAGTGTTCCGAGCGATCGATAGAGGTGTGGGGATGAGGAGGGCGGCAGCTGCGACACGAAACTGGTTTCAAATGGAAACAGCAACACACATACGCATTGTACGAAAAGGAAACTTAAATTAACAGCAAGCAAATAGATAGACAAAACAAAAAATATATAGGTATGTTTGTATGTACCTATGTACGTTTATATGTAAGCAAGTAGGTATGTAAGAATGGGTGGCCAAACTCAGAAGATAGTGAGGCCATACATAGTAGAAGCGGCAATTGAAATTGAAGTGCGAGCATAAAACCAAAGCGCTGATGTCGACAATGAAGAAGAAACGTAAAATAAATGGCAAAAAACAGATTATATTGTATTCAGCCGAAGCATATAACACGAACGAAACGAGATAAGCATAACAGCCACAAACTATATACAGGCACACATGTATGCGTGTAGAATGCAGCGCGACAGCCAACAAGCTTTTTAAAAATATCATGGAAGTGAAAAAGATCAAGCAGCCAGAATCGAAACAGTAATGCATCACACATTCATTTGTACACACTAGTGCATTGCTTTGAAATAAAATTCACTACTAAAAGTTTGCTGCATTACTTTACTTGCTTAGAAGCTGCTGACGCAGAACTGGCGTAGGGTCGGAAGAATGGAAAGCTAAACAAACAAACAATCAGTTAGCATGTGCCTTGTGGCCGCCATTGGTGCTGCAGCTGCCCACTATTGTCGGCTCTGTGTAACGAGTTCCTGCGCGCGCTCAACTAACTTCACAGACTGTAGTAGATACACAGAAACTGCTTGTATTATTTTGGTGTATTATTTTTCGTTGCTTTGGATATATCAACAACTGCTTAAATTTAACTTTTTTCTGGCTACAGCTTCATGGCAGCAGCATATTTGACATTTATATAAAAAAGTAGTTGAGTCGTTAGACGTTTTAATAGTGTTATATAAATTTTTATAAATCAAGGATACAAATACATATTTAAGTTTTGAACATTTGTTATCATTTATTATTATCTAACAAAATATTTTTAAAAACTACTGTAATTAATTTTGAGTTTATAGTTAAAATAGGTAGCTCATAAAACTTCCTTTGAGATTCGGACTTTTCATTTGCATAAGCATATAATGTCAGAGGCAATATAATGCAATAAAATTATTATAAGTGAAGAAATCGAACAAAATCTGGCAATAAATGCAAGATATGTAAATATCTGAATCTTTCCACCCAACAAATCAATTTCTCCAAAGTATTAAATAGTTATTTATACGTACATAGTACAATATACTAATATCATAACATTTGCAATCACTTTTCATTTCGTTCACAAATAAATGTCTTTTGTCCAAAATCAATGCTATTATATTATTGTTGTTATTTCAGCAAATATTTGTAAGTATATTATAAACCATTATGGTTTAAACCGCCCATTGACTTGTATTCGAAAATACATATCACATGTAAATTTTAAGCTAAAATTTCAAATATGACAATTATACACACCTTATTTGATTGGTTTAAATCTCTATGTTGACAACGGCGACCACTTTTCTTCCACTGTACTCGGTAGAGTTTTTATACTTTAAAACCGGCGAACGTAAACTTTCTCACGTTTTAACGCGTATAATAATTGTATTTTGTAAGAAAAATTCCTAGCAATTTTTTTTTTTCTTATTTCAATGCTAATTACATATGTCTACACTGTAAACAATCCATCTCGGTTATAATGTGAGTTTTAGCACTTATGATATTATTGCGGGAAGACATTTCTCTATGCAATTCATGAAACCGTAAATTTAAATTATTATTATTATATTAATTGTCTACAGTTCAGTTTTTTATGATATTTGTTTCATCAAATTAATTTTCTAATTTTTATCTGCTAATTAATTTTAATTGCCTCAATTAGTAAAATAGCAACATATCATATATAATGGTTTCATATTGACTTTGTCATAATTTCTCTTTATTATTTTCGCGCACGTATTCCAAATTTTATATTTAAGGGCATTATAATGCCTTAAATCCGCGATACAAACACATTTAACAAGTTTCTCATAAGCAAGTAAAATTTTCACCTCTGGTTTTTTTCGCCTACTTAACAACTGATTTCATTTTATGCAATAATTACATATATTCATTAATTAATAAAGGCATTAATTTATTGCTATACGTACATGAAAACGTTCAAACTACATATGTAACAAAAATTTAATCAAATAAAGTTGTGCACAAACAATTGCTTATTGCATTTTATCGTATCTTTATTGTATAACAGTTGTTCCAACTCCACTCTGTTTTGCTTTCGACGAATTTTCGTAGATATGTACATATTTTATACACTTATGAAACCACTTTTTGTTTTGTCCCACACAAGTATACACACACGTACGCATGTAAATTAAAATTAATGAAAAAAATAAATAAAATTAACTGCTACTTGCTTTCATTTGCCTCGTCGGTCTTTCCACTTATTTAATACATTTCCATCCCTCTATCGCTTCCTCTAACTTGTGATTTCTACATTCTATTTTTCGTCACCATCAGCTATTTTTGTATGTATTGAAAGACTGCTATCAACTTTACAAAGTCTTGACGTCTTCAGTCGCACCGTCTAGCTCAATATATGCTGCAGTCAGCGTCAACGTCGGCGTCAGTGTAGTCGGTTGTCTTAATCGCAGTTGTTGTTGTTACAGTTGCTACTTTTGCTGTTTTATTTAATTGATTCGATTTTTTTTACTTTTTGCTTTTTGTTTGCTGCTTCGAGTTGTTTTTATTATAGTTGTTTCTTCAGGCTTTTAATTTTTTCAACGTTTGCATTCTTCTCACATACGTTTTGCACTTTTCGCCTTCTCTTCTCTTCCATTGCATACCACTCTTCGGTTCAATACGTTTAAATAATTTTTGGTTCACACTTTACACACTTAACTTTTCAAATATGTATTTTTCATTTTTATACTTTAATAATTTATATTCCACTATTACTTTAACACTTTTTATAAAATCATAATCGTCACTTTAATTTTCTTCGCCCAACACATTCGGTTTTTCATTCATACTTCTTTCTTCATCTATCTATTTCAATCGATGCTCATTTCGGCTCTACACAATATTCCTTTTTCACTTTACTCTTGTTTATAAAATACACCCTTTCAACAGAGCACCTTCAAATCACTCTGATTTTTTCTAAAATTAATTATTTTCACTGCTCTGTTCAAATTTGTAGCATAATTTCAATCCTCCACACGTTCTATTAACAGTTTGCGCCATTTCCCCCCTTTTCAATTTAATCGTCTGGCTCACTGGCAATTGAAGAAGGAACTGAAATAAATCAACTTTTCACGTTCTCAGCCACCCGACTGTTCCACGGTACTGAATGTTCCTATAGCTTCGCACCTTGCGCTGAATGTATCATGGCGACGCTGAATTGGGTGTCGGCCATTTTGAAATAGCTGTCAAATATTCAATCAACTTAACGAACGTTCAGTTGAGGCATTTATTGGCGGATATTTTCGTCATGGGCGTTGGCATTAAATTGAGGAATTCGGTGAGACAGATATTTGCTGTGTTACACCATTTTAATCTTTACGATAATGAACTATTTCACCTAGAACTTTGAGTAAAGAAGTTAATGAATAATATTTGAGCTGCTTTTTTTTCTCTGCTCGAATGATAATCAAATCTTTTTGAATAAGCTGAAATTTTCTGCTTAGCGGACTCGAGTGAAGCAAAATTAGCTCACTACTTGCCGTAAGATGGCACTGTAACTCTTTAGAAGCTGTGGCAACCCAGAGGTAAACAGTGTTGTGGTTATAAATTGAAAAGTAAAATCTATTTAATTTTAATTAATAAACATTTATATTAAAATAGTTATATATAATTAATTATTAAAAAACGTAATATTATTTCTGAAATGAGTTTCAAAGAAAGTACACATTTCTTTCCAAATCCTCATTGGTAACGCCCTTTTTAGCGTAGATAACGAAACATGACAACATTGTTAATTGTTGCAGTTTGATTTTGTTGTGGATTTCTACGAACAGAGTCACCGTAGATTCAGTCCGATTTGGAAGTGCAGAATTTTTGTGGCGAATGATCAGTAGAGAATTTTTGAAACAAAATAAAAGGTAAAAGTGTTATTTAAATAAATGTAATTTTACATTCACAGTTGCAAAGTCGTGCAGAGTGTAATTGGGTTAACAGAAAATTGATATCGTGCGATTATTGGCAGATGTGCTCGTTTAATATTCCTTTATCGTGTATTTAATTCGAAAACTTTTATTCGGCGTTTTATTTACAACGCTTGGTTTGTTTAAGCTTGAAAAAGTTAATTTTGTGATTTATTTGTGTAATTTTCAATGCCAAGTTTAAAAATATAAATCAATTTTGTGGCGTGTAAGCTACCAAAAAAAGTAAAATAAAACAACCGCAGACTAAGCGGAAAAGAAGAAAAGAAAATGAAAGAAAATTGAGCACACAATTTATTTTGTATCTCTCTTTGAAGTGTAAAAGAGTCAGAAAAATAGATTTAGATACATTTATTTCGAAAGTTTCAATATATTTCTAATAAAATACTATCTTAAAAGTAGACAACCTGGTTTTGTCTAAACAAATAACAAAGAAGTGAATTGCATTGTAAAAAAAAGGAGTGTCGTTTGTTGCAGGGGAAAACTGCTAAAGAAAGCAAAACAAAACGGAATGCGAGAAAAATAAATGGAAGACAAACAAAAATAAAGGGGTAAGGAAGCTGGAAAAATATTGCATAAACTATTATTAAGAAACTCAAAAAAGTATAGAATATATAAAAATAATATAATGTAATTAGAGGAAATTATGAACAGTAATTGTAGACGCCTACATCAAAATCTCATCTGCTTTAGGAGAGGACGAACATATAAAGAATTTGTTGATTGATTTTTACTTCTCTTACTTATATTTGAAACAATAATATTTAACGAATTATGTCTCTATCTGGGAATAACTACGAATACCTTTATATGAAGTTGCACCAATCGCGCATATAAAGTATGCGTTTACTTTGATGACATCTACGCAAACGTATATACGGTGCGTACTTTGTGTGGTGTGCCTACAGGGTACATTTGGCATAGCATTAATTATATTAATATAGCATTTCAACGAATAAATTATATTAGCGAAATAACTTGAGCGCTGTGGAAAAATATAACGCTTACTAAATATGAACATAATAATAGAAATTAAAGCATTAACAATAAATTCAATTAGACTCAATTTAATATTAAGAAGAAAGTTGCGACGAAGAAAGTTTACATGCATTCCAAATCAATTACAGACAATCTACAGGCCACTGGTGACTAACACATTTGAACAAATGTAAGTACATACATGTGTATGTTCGTATGCCTGCTATAGAAATCGTCTGATTGAAATGGAAAATACTTTTGCCTACAGAACCAACTTACAATTGGTTGAACGTCAAGCCGGTAAACTCCAGCTCACAAATCACAATATATCTCAAGTAGACATTTATAGGATTGTAAGCTGCAGAAGACAGGGTTATACATACCATAGTGTCAACAATGGCGCGCTGTTCATGCTACAATAATAGTCACCCAATTGAATTAAATCTATTTTAATCTGCGAAGCTAAACAAAATTAAATGAAAAAGCAACAAATCATTCATAAAAATTACTATATTTTAAGCTCTTGGGGGCAATACAAATATTTTTACAAGCTTGCTAAATGTGTCAGATATCTTTTAGTTTTCATTGCGATGTTACGGTTATGAATTTTTGATTTGTGTACTGCTGTTGTTGTCCCTAACCCATCCAGCCTACTATGTTCGTAATTCATATACAGTGGACCAATAAAATTTACATACACCTAGTYTTATTAAATTACAACACATTTTTTGGTTTTAAAATTAATGTTTATTGTCGTTTTTTTGTATCTATTTCAAAATATGTATATTTAGCATATATATTGGCTTATCAAAATTTTTATTTTTACACAAATGAAAAAA